TTTTTCTTGCCCTATCTTCCATTAGATTGTGTAGATGGGGTCCCATAGCCTTCTCTAAGCTGACCTCCCTATCTCTGTGGGCAGGAAATCCACAAGACACAAAGATTTCTTTCATACTCGCACCCACTGAGTGAAAGTCTTTCCTGGCACAATCTACGCAGAGCTGTTTTCTGGCCACAGGAACCACCTGCATTTTAATTGCCACTAGATGGAAGCAGATCAGTTCAATTTGTTGGATGTCCTTGGGGGACAGGAAGAGATGCTGGCAGGAGGAGTATGAGCATTAAGTTAATCATCAAATTAAGTTAGTTACCATATTAAGCTCATGGCCCTGTTAAGTTTTAACAATTCACCGAGTTTTACAGTGAACACCTTTGTGTTGGAACAATGCTCAGCCTGAGTGAAACACCAAGAGGTGTTAAGTCCTTGTGCCTGACCTTAGGGAGATTATTATCTAGTTAAGGAGTTAAGGCTGAAATATGGAAATTTTTTTCAGAAAAATACAGACAGACTGTGGTAATGGTCAAAGAATTCTGTATTGAAGACAGGACTTCTTCAATATAAGAGCTTAGTGATCACAGCAAATCTTATAAAGAAGGTGGAACCTGGGTTAGTGTTTGAAGAATGGAGAGGATTCGGGTGTGTGGAGAGAAGTAGGGAAGGCGGTCTAGACGAGGGAGATGAGGTACGTGGTATGGTGCTGGGACTCTGAAAGCATGTCCCGGGGCTAGTGAGTAGAGCTACCTAGAGCGTCTGGTGCATTGAGGAGCTGTGAACAGAATTCGGAAGGGAAGACTTGCCCCATCAACACAGGTCTTGAATGCTTCATCAGATGTTCTAGAAAGACCTAACAAATAATTATTTGCCCAGCTGCCTTGGGATAGCTCTAATTTATTGGCCAAAGTGACCACAGAATCATAGAATTTTAGTTAGGGAAAGGATCTTAGTCGACATCATGTTCAAACTCTCTTAATAATTGAAATAATTAAATAACTTTTCCATAGTCCCTGAGCTAGTGATGGAGTTAGTTGCAATAATAATAAACATCAAACATTAATCCCATGCTGTGCACCATTCTGAGTGTTTTACATGTCATAAGTTGTTAAACATTGCCTACAAGCCTGTGGGTGTATGTTCTATTAATAGTTCGATTTTATAGGTGAAGGAGCAGCGAAATTAAATAACTAGTCTGAGGTCACTGAATAAATGACAAAGCTGAAACTTGTACCCATCTAGATCCAAAGGTCATGCTCTTAACCTTTATGCTTCTAGAACTCAGGTATCTGGGTGCCCAGGTTGGAGTTGTAAGTCCCAGACACCCTCCTCCTCCATTACTATAAATTTTCTTCATGCTGAAACCATTGTGTGAAGGCACTGAGGAAGGGTAGGGTGGGAGAAGTAGGGTGTGTTTCTAGAACAAGCCAAAGGTAAAATGAACACCATCACACGGACCACTGTGCATCAGTTTTTTTTTTTTTAAGCCCTTGAGCTAACACCCGTTGTCCTTCGGCTCATGCCTGTTAGTATTTGGTTGGTGAATGACTGATTCTGGGCATGTGTGGTTTCAATTCTTGCTGGGCTATTTTGACTATTCTGCAAACTGGTTCTGTTTATCACCTCATTTGGTTTCTAGTATCTAAATTCTGCCCACGTAAAAGCTACACCCAAGATACACAGGAAGATACGATGCCAACCTCAGAGGAGGGTGTATGTGAAATTTTGTTTTCAGAAACATTTTTATCTCTGTAACTGGCAAGCACATTTGCAGCTGTTGAACTGTGGTTTACCCTGGCAGTTCATCATAAGAGCAGAATCTCAGAATCTGGTTCTCCTTTTGAAAGGTGTTATTAAGATGTGCCATATTTGGTTCTCCTCTCTCCTTTCCAAGAATGAGACAGTTGTCTCACACACACACACACGTAATTTTTTTTTCCCATGAGACTAAATTTGTCACCCGTAAATCACATTCCATCCAAATGGGGCATTCAGAACCCCTACCCTGCCTTCTGTGAGTTTTGATTTTCTGATTTCTCTTTCCAGTTGAACATGTCTTCTACTTTTCTGACTTTCCACTGTTCAAAGTTTATCTAAAATGTCCTTCAGACTCTTTAGATCTGAAGACAAAGCCTGTACTGCCAAAATTTCTCAAAGTGTGTCCTGAAGAACAAATGCTTAAGCATTACCAGGAAGCTTGTTAGAAATCCAGACTCCTAGGCCCACTCAGACCTACTGAATCAGCATCTGAATTTTTCTGCATTTTAACACCATGCCTGGTTGGTAAGCACCAAAAGTGTGAGAAGCTCTGCTTTAGGGTTCTCTTCTCAAGGATTCCTGTGTCTTAGTGAATGTCCTGCATCTTACAATCCATCTGAAAGATAGTTCCTTTAGTCCTCTCCTGATCTTTCGTGAATATTCATCTTTGCTACTAACAGTTTAATGTTTCCAATTTTTAAGCACCTTAGTTTAACTTCTATTCTCTTGTTCTTCATTCAGCCCGGATGGTCCATATTAAACCACCTGCTGTGGCAGAGTATTCCAGGGATACTGAAGTGTCACTGGATCCTTCACATCCCTCCTTGAGAAGCTGTGCCTGGTGGCATCTCCTCCACTGAAGCTGAAGTGTGTCTCTTTCAGGGCATCTGACAAGTTCTCAGCATGACCAGCAGCGTCTTCTCTTCCCATTTTGCTCCTCATCCACCCGCCCACCCCTCCTTCAGCCTGAAGTTGTGGTTTTTACAGCCCACTCTTTTATTCTCTTTTCCATGGAGAAACCAGACCACGGGGAAAGGTGACTGTGGAATCTAGACATGTTGATTTCACTCTTTCTTCACTCTGGCTCCCAGTTTCAATTCAGTGCTCGACCTGATGACACACATTTCTAAATGCTGTGAAAATTGGATACATACGCAACTACAGGCTCAATTTAGTCACAGATCACATTTTACCTCTCCAGTCCTCCAGTATACCATGGGGGGGTATTCTTCTAGAAAGTTCATAAAATTAATGTTATCCTTGCTTTCCAACTCCAGTGAAGTAAGGGGTTCTGCTCCAAATTGGGGAAGTCCTATTTGTACTGAAGCCCTACCTTCTATAAATGGAGGCCATTAGAGTTATGTCTCCAGCCTCCCACCTTCTTCAGCCATCTCCCCTTCTCAGTTGGCTGACTTCCACACATGGCTTCTCCTGAGCACCAAACAAAAGGAGAAAGAAAGGAGAGAAGAGAAAGCTACCTTGCATTAGGTTGGTTGCTTAGTTTGTTATTTTAAAAATTATCATATGTGTTTTCTCCTCAGTGAAATTCTACTCTCCTTAAAGGCAAAGATCGTGACACATTTCTGGAGTCTCTAATTCATTACCTGGCACTCAATAAATGTGTATTCAAATAAATCAGAAAGAGCATATAGTGGACTGTTGATATAAGTTGAAGCAAACTCTCTCTCCATGACATATGATAACCCAAACAATACTTATCTAATGTCAAGGGCTGAATTCTTACAAGGGGATTGGGTCCTGTGTAAAAACTAGTTGGAAATGCCTCTTTGCCCTATGGCCAATACAGCTTTCATACACTCTTGTACATGTTATGAGAATGACTTTTTTATGATGATTACACTTTCCTTTCTCAAAGCCATCTCAGATTTTGCATTGCAAAAGGTTCTCTATGTTGTGCATCATAAATCGAGGATGTGCCATTCACATTCATGCACCATGAATACATCCCTCAGAGTTGTGCAGTGCACAACATGTATAGACTGATATGGCAGCCCTGATTGTGAGAGGTTATTCAACTAAGACATCAGGATAAAAGAACACAAGTGGAGGCTACATCTTGGGAGTAAGAGGTTTATAGACTTAAAAACATGGTCTTATGTTTAAGTCCTGAGGCTACTACATGATCTTAGGAATTACGTCATGCTACATTCCTTAAATAAAGATAAGATTCATAAAGAAAGAAATAAAGATTCATAACCTTCCTGAGATTTAGTTTCCTGTCTCCTTGCCTATAGCACAAGAATGAAATATGTCTTATTTACCTCCCAAGGTTATTGCAATGATGGAGTTGGGTATGAAATTGCTTTATGAACTGAACCTTAAAGGTAGATTTTTTTCCCAACTCCAATCTTGTCTTTCATGCATTCTTGGGGTAGGATCCTGGATCTTATGGAAGGGCTTGAACAGAAGCAGATCTGAGATGAGAAACCAGAGAGGGTCCTCCACTTACTTTCAAATAGGCACCCAGTACTCAGATTTTCACTACAGAAGGTCAGCTCTGCTACCTGTGCCCTTGCTGGGGTGAGATGGAAGGGGCTGGGTTGGGGAATCAGACCCACTCAGTTGGAATCCTGCCTCTGTCTCTGTGGTATAATCCTGCAAGTCATTAAATCAACAGCATCCAAGGGACACAGAATGATCCATTCCTCTGGATTTGTTCTCCAGAGCTTGGTGGACTTGGGCTAAATTATTTTAGTCTCCTTGAGAAATATTTTATTAAATTAAGATTTAATCTTACGACTTTAGCTTCTGATAAGAAAAATCTGTCCCCTGAGTGTCACCCACTGCCCATATGACCCCAGTTTTCACCCTTTGATCTCCCTAAGACTGTGTTCTGTTCTTTGACACATGTCTGAAACAGACCTAGCTTCATAATAATTTAATGAGAAAGAGATGAGACAGGAAAGAGGCTTCATATCCAAATCATACTATAGAAAATTAATGGAGTTACCTTTTAGACATCTATGCTCTTCCCCTTCAAGGTTCCTATACTCCACCAGCTCACCTATCTTTATTTCCTGTTTTGGCCAAAGTTCTTCTAAAATTGCCCTTCCCTTGACTCCAGCAATTTGGTTTTCCTTCTGTTAGCATGTCCCATTCAGGAAAGAAAACCTGCCACCACCAAAACAACCCATTACCCATGACAAGGAGGACAGGAAAATTCTTAAGAAAAATAGTGAGATTTTTACTTCCCTTTGGCCCTGACAATCTTGTCTGATCTAGTGAACTCTTGGCATTTCGGGAGATACAGCCTTTCCTGCATAACTCTGAAAGGTTTCATTGGAACTAAGCTTTCCTGATATCTTGGCATGAGGCTTTGTCTGAGTAACAGCTCGAGTTGTAGTGATTTTAATACTAATATTTCTCATAACAGTAGAAGCAATGACAACATTAGGGTAACAGGTATTTAAAGCTTATTATTTTAAGCTTACTTGATTTGGCATTTAGTTATCTTCTTTGGCATCCAAATCCAAACCAGGAAAAAATTGCCTTTTCTTAAAAATTCTCTAAGGCTGAAGGTGAGACCTTATAGACTCAGTGTTGGTGGGAACTTAAGCAGTAGTAATATGTAATTAGGCTGCCCTGTGTACGAAAACACAGGGAAGTTAGTGTTCTTTTTTCCTGTGAGCATGTGAAAAGGAAAAAGAGGGAAGGTAATAAAGATAGAGAGAGCTGGAAAAGTTGTAGTGTTAGAGCAGGCAGAGAGCTAGATATGAGCAGAGAAAGGGGGACACAGGCCAAATGGCAGGAATTGGGCAAAAAGGAGGGGCATGGGGTCAAGTGCAGGAAACCCTACATCATTTAAACAACAGGGGTCCCTGGACAGGCAAAGAGAAGCAGAAACCTCTGAGCTGATAAGCAATCACAGATTTTGGAGTGACAAGTGGCCTGGAGATCAACAAAGAAAGGTGGGGAAAAAGGCAGGAATCTCTAGTGTCTGAATGTAAATTTTGCTCATTATGCCCTCATTACAATAAAATTAGCCTTGCAGATTAGAGGTACCCATCATGCACTGATGCCATGACACTTCCGATCCAGACTAAATAAGGACAAAAATCCTCCTCCCTTTGGGACGGTGGAGTTGGGATGAAAATCAGGGCATACGACCCTTCCCTCCCTAGTGAATCTTCTGCCCATACGTTTTTACACTGTATGTAACCAACTTACCAAAGAAACTCAGGGCAGCTGCTCACCTGAGTCTGCCTGCTCTCCCCTTGAGAATATACTGTCTATCCCTTAATAAATCCTTACTTTATTTTCTGCATCTTGTCTCTGAATTCTTTTTTGCGACAAGACAAGAACCTAATCACAGGCAATAGTAGGAAGCAAGAACTCGTAGGGGCAGCCCAGCTTCTTAGGGACAATAGGAACATTAAATGGTGTGATTTCCTTAGTATTGCATAAATCATGAACATTCTACTACAAACACAGACCTATATTCAGGTTGCTTTGAAGGAGGAGTTTCAGGTGAAGTTCCTGCTTCCTTAGTTGGGAAAATAGCAGATATGAAGGAACAGCCACAAAAAAGCAAAGTTCAAACAAAATATTTTGGCAGAAACAAAACATTTAGAAGAAAATCAGTACCATGGTGGGCATGAAAATTAAGCTCTCTGGGAATTTTGAGAGCTCTTGGAGAGGGTTTGGGGCTTCCACAATGATCAGTATTTTAATTCATTGTACCATCTATTAATAATAATCCACAAAATCTTGATTTTAAGGGGCAGAGAGACCCCACGTGACATCTGGGTACCTTCCTCATAGCATTAATCTTTGGCCACAGGTATTATTATTCCCATTTCAAATTTTAGGAAACTGAGGCTCAGAGACATTAAATAACTTGTTTAAGTCCATGTGATTGTAAGTATCTGTTTAACAGGTAAGGAAAGGTGGCATTAAAAAGAGCTGTGTGTCTAATGCTGAAGAGAAAAGAGAATTAAAAAATTACTCAAAATAGATTCGATTTCAAAAACTAATGCTGGGCTGTTTGGGCAAGTCAAAAGAATATGGCCATTTCCTAATTCACAGCAAAATCAGCCAAGAAAGTGATCTTGAGAGAACAGACTGTGTCTCTTGATTGCAACATCCTTAGAACTAACCTCTATATCTAAAGGACAATTGATGCTCAAAATGGTTACTGAGTGATACACTACATGGGTATATTTAGTGTGAAGAGAGACTGATGGCATGGGATTGTGGTTTTCAACTAACCAATTAAATATCTACTAAAAATTCACTATTGTAAGAAATGTTAACAGAGGCTGTGGACATACTGGGGCCGAGTCCTGCCCTGAAGGACCCAGCATTGGGAGGTGGAGGGAGGAAAATCACCTCTAGCTGCACAGTGTGTGTAATGGCATGTGGAGCATGCAAGCTCAGAGATGCTGTGGTCCAAGGGAGGGAGGTGCCCCTTCGCAAAAGGCAGCAGAATTTATAGGTAAAATTAGATCCTGGGTGAGGTCTAATTAGGAACCAGAAGGTGAGTTAAATATCTAGGACAGCAGTATTGAAGTCAGAGATGTCAGACAGGTTTATTGGCTTAGCCAAGATTCAGCAATGAAAAAGGCATAGAATAGCTTTAACCTCCAGGCTAACACTTGTGACATTTACTTGGTAGTTGCCAGGAAAATTTGAGGGAAAAGATCACAGTGATATTCTGGGAAGATCAATGTGTCTGAGGGTTTAGGAGTGGAGAAAAACAGAAGCAGGGAGACTGGTCAGTAAGTGTGACCATTCAGGCACGATGCTTAGGGCAGGGCCAGGAAGATTCCAAAGTGAAGCATTGTCAAGACTTTGGTCCTTGACTAGTTGGGGTCCACGGACAAGGAGGGGGATTGCAAGGGAGTGCAACAAAGCATTCAGAAAGGAAAAACATAGAACAAAGACTCTGGCTAAAAATGGTTTATGCAAATATTCTTTTTTTTTCTCAAAGATCTTGTAGGAAAGTCCCTCCTTTGTTATAGTTCCTCTGCATGAATGTATCACCTTTATTTATAATGTAGGATTGAGTCAAGGAGATGTCAAAACGGCTTTGAATTCATGAAGACAAATGATGGAGACTGAGGATGGAAAAACTGCCCTAACTAATGGCTCTTAAAGATGTGGGTTTGAATCAATTCTGACCTCTTAAATGAAAGCAATCTGAGTTTAGTTTCCGAGATGCAGTTTTGACAGGACACTCAGGTAGACTGGCCTCCCCTCAATGTGCTTGGAACCTGTCCATTGGGCCCACCTTTGACTGTGTGGTCAGTTTTGAGTGGATTTAGAGTTAACGGGCAGGAGGCACGTATGATGGTGCACATGGCATGCACAACTGAGCTAATTACTTCTGAAGCATTGTATAAGTGTTCTAGAGAAATCAGTATCTCTTTAGAAAGCATATGCACACAGGAGTAGTTTCCAAACTTTTCTATTATGAGGGACACTCATTAAAGTTTAAAAAATTGCAAAGTAGTAGTTATTTTTACTACTCACTAATTGAGAAAATACAGATATATATATATATGGATGATAAAAATAAAGGTCTTCTTAACCAGAGAAGTTCAGGCCCGGAGATTACAAACTACTGCTTGTTCTTACACTGCAATACGTTTAAAGGGCCCAATTTTACAGATATCAGACCCCTCATTGTCATCAGACTGTATATTCATCTGCAATCCTCATGCAAAAACACTTATGTTTGCTTTCACGGACGTGTATAGAATACTTCACTCAGCAATTAACCAACTGTATTACACATGGAACATGTACAGATATAGATCATATAACAGACTGTAAAGCAAGTGTCAATAAATTTTAAAGAACTAGAATCATACAGATCAGAGCCTCCTCTGTTCATTATAAGTTAACAAAAGGATAAATTAAGAAAAAATCCCAGCATGCTTAATAATTTAAAAATATTTAAATAACTCCTAAGTCAAAAAAATCACAAAAAATGAATTATTATAATTTAGTAATATTTAAGATACTATGTATCAGTAATTGGGGAGAACAGCAAAAGAAAAGTCAAGGAAGCTTCACGTTAAAGCCTATCTTAGAAAAGCAAAGGCTAAAAATTAAACATCTAACTTAAGAAGTTAGAGAAAAAAATGATAGAATAAATTATAAGACAGTAAAAAGAGGGAAATAATAGATTTAAGAGCAGAAATTCACATATAAAAACAAAGAACAATAGAGGATCACGAAGTAGACAAACTGATCAAGAAAAA